GTATGCCCGAGTGGCATGAGTGACTGTGAGGTTTACCCGAGGGGCTGTTTTTGAGTGATGCTTTGCCCGAGGGGCTGTTTATGATTTTCATCATTTCTTTTGCTCACCTTTGCATTGAGCCTTGGTTTGAAAAACTGTTGGAAAAATATCTTTAAATGATTTTTTTTTTACTGGAACCGAGTTTAAACGAGATGATTCGATTCAAACACGGATTTTTAAAGCATGTTGTACTTTACTGAGATTTCATGATATGAACGTTATATGCTTTATTGCTCGTCACTACTGCTCAGTCTTTATTTATTGTTGTTACTTACTGAGTTGGCGTACTCACGTTACTCCCTGCACCTTGTGTGCAGATTCAGGTGTAGCTGGACATGGTAGCGGTTATTGAGTATTCTGGTTGCAAATTTTCTTGGAGATAGCAAGGTAGCTGTTTGGCGATCGCAGCCCCTGCTCTTCTCCCTCTTATCTTCCTCTAGTTGTATTTAGCTATTTTCCAGGCTGAGTTAGCCTTGATATTGTTAGACAGATTGTAGTAGATGCTCACTACTAGTGACACCTCGATGTTGGGCTTTTCTTTTTCGTACTTCTGTTTTTCTTTAATTTGAACTCTTTAAATGGAGGTTTTATGTTAAATAACCTTGAAATTATCTTTGAAATGAAAATATAGGTTTTTTTTTTTGAAAATGAGTCGGCTTGCCTAGTTCCATGATAGGCGCCATCACGACAGAGGTTAGTTTTAGGTCGTGACAGATTGGTATCAAAGCCTAGGTTACATAGGTATCATGAGTCATGAGCGGGTTTAGTAGAGTCTTGCGGATCGGTATGGAGACGTCTGTACTTATCTTCATGAGGCTGCATAACCTTTAAGAAACTTCACATTCTTGAATTCTTGTCGTGCGAATCTGTTGATTCTAGTAACTAAACATCTTTTGTTTCATTCTCTCACAGATGGTGATGACTCGTGCTATCGGTCAGGAGGGCCAGCTACCAGTACCACCAGCCAGGGCCGCGGTAAAGGCCGTGGTAGGGGCAGAGGTGCAGCCCGTACAGCAGCTGGGGCAGTACCTGCAGATCCACCAGTTGTCCCAGATCAGGACCAATTTTCAGTTGTTGATGCACCAGCTCAGGCACCACCTATGCCTATTGTGATTCCAGGACTTCAGGAGGCCCTAGCTCAGATTCTGACAGCGTGTACTGGCCTTGCTCAGGCGGTCTCTATTTCGTCGGCCGCAACCACTTCTCAGGCCAGAGGAGGCACTCAAACTCCCATCGCTCGCACACTCGAGTAGGTTATTCAGGGACTTCAGACACCAGAGCTACCACCAGCCCAGCCGGTTGTCGTTGCTCAGGATTATGTGGTTCCTGCTATGCTTGAGGATGATCAGTGTAGGTTGGAGAGGTTTGGGAGACTTCAGCCACCACCTTTCAGTGGCACATAGAGAGAGGATGCTCAGGACTTTTTAGACAGGCGTCAGAGGATACTCGGTACTGCTGGTATTTTGGAGACTTATGGGGTCTTATTCACTACCTTTCAGTTTTCTGGGACTGCACTCAGATGGTGGGGGACTTACGAGAGACGTAGGCCTGTTGGCGCAGGACCCCTTACTTGGTAGCAGTTCTCCGTGGTCTTTTTGGAGAAGTTCGTGCCTCTATCCCGCAGAGAGGAGCTGCGCAGATAGTTTGAGCGGCTTTGCCAAGGCGATATGTCTGTGACACAGTATGAGATGTGATTCTCTGAGTTGGCCCGTCATGCTATCTGGTTGGTTCCCACGGACAGAGAGAGGATCATGAGGTTTATTGATGGCCTCACTTATCAGCTACAGTTGCTCATGACCAGGGAGCGGGTTTTGGGTGCTACCTTTGATGAGGTTGTCGACATTGCTCGGCAGATTGAGATGGTTCGCGGTCAGGAGAGGGTTGAGCGGGAGGCAAAAAGGCCTCGTGGTCAGGGTGGATTCAGCGGTGCTTCTTTTGGGGGTCAGTTCTAGCACTGTAGAGGTCATCATTTCAGACAGGTTCAGTCAGCTCGGCCATTTCATCGGGGTGCATCATCTGGCCATGGTTCTCATCAGGGCCACTCATCACTTAGTGCCCTTCTAGTTCAGAGTTCGTCCCGTGCTCTACCTGTTCAGGGCTCTTCCATGCCAGGTTCGTCTACCAGTCATCCCGGTGCTAGGGGTTCCCTTCAGTTTCCGCCGCCAGCACCAAGGAGTTGTTTTGAGTGTGGGGAGCTTGGGCATATGTGGAGGCAGTGTCCTCGTCGTCATGGAGGTCTATCTCAGTGGAGGAGTCAGCCTCCGACTACAACACCAGTTACCTCATCACCCACCCAGTCAGCTCGGGGTGGAGTTCAGTCAGCTAGGGGTTTCCCTAGAGGGGGAGGCAGATTAGGGGCTGGTCAAGCCCGTTTCTATGCTCTCCCTGCCAGACCAGACGCTATTGCTTCAGATGCTGTGATTACAGGTATTGTCTCAGTTTGTCACTGAGATGCCTCAGTATTATTTGACCCTGGTTCCACGTATTCATATGTTTTCTCGTATTTCGCCCATTTTTTGGATATACCCCGTGAGTCCTTAGTTTCATCTGTACATATATCTACTCATGTGGGCGATACTATTATTGTGGACCACGTATATCGGTCATGTGTGGTGACTATTGGGGGTCTGGAGACCCAAGTGAACCTTTTGCTGCTCAGTATGGTCGACTTTGATGTGATATTAGGTATGAATTGGTTATCTCCATGTCATGCTGTTCTAGATTGTCATGCTAAGACGGTGACGTTGGCTATGCCGGGAATTCCGAGGGTGGAGTGGAGCGGTTCTGTAGATTATGTACCAAGTAGGAAGATTTCATATTTGAAGACTCAGCACATGGTTGAGAAGGGTTGTCTATCTTATTTGGCTTTTGTGAGGGATTTTAGTGCAGAGACTCCTATCATTGATTCTGTTCCGGTGGTACGTGATTTTCCGAATGTGTTTCCTGCAGACCTGCCGGGCATGCCGCCTGACAAAGATATTGACTTTGGTATTGATTTGGTACCGGGCACTCAGCCTATTTCTATTCCACCGTATCGTATGGCACCGGCGGAGTTGAAGGAATTGAAAGAACAACTTCAGGAACTCCTTGATAAGGGGTTTATTCNTAGCATTCTTGGGGCACGTGGTGTCCAGTGAGGGTATTCAGGTGGATCCGAAGAAGATAGAGGCGGTGCAGAATTGGCCTAGACCGTCCTCAGCCACGGAGATTAGGAGCTTTCTTGGTTTGACGGGTTACTACCGTCGCTTTGTGGAGGGATTTTCATCTATTGCATCGCCCTTGAGTGTGAGGAGAGCTTTCAGAAGCTTAAGACTGCTTTGACCACAACTCCAGTGTTTGTTCTGCCATCAGCTTCAGGTTCTTACACCGTGTATTGTGATACCTCGAGGATAGGCATTAGTTGTGTTTTGATGCAGGAGGGTAGGGTGATCGCCTATGCCTCGCGCCCGTTGAAGACCCATGAGAAGAACTATCCTGTCTATGATCTTGAGTTAGCAGCCATTGTTCACGCCTTGAAGATTTGGCGTCATTATTTGTATAGGGTTCATTGTGAGATCTATACTTATCACCAGAGTCTGCAGTATCTGTTAAAGCAGAAGGATCTTAATTTGCGTCACCGGAGATGGTTGGAGCTTCTTAAGGACTATGATATCACTATTTTATACCATCCGGGGAAGGCCAATGTGGTGGTCGATGATTTGAGTCGCCGGGCAGAGAGTTTGGGGAGTTTAGAATATCTTCCAGTAGCAGAGAGACCTTTGACATTGGATGTTCAGGCCTTAGCGGGCCAGCTTGTCAGATTGGATATTTCGGAGCCTAGTCGGGTATTGGCTTGTGTGGTCTCCAGGTCTTCTATTTATGACCGTATCAGGGAGCGTCAATATGATGACCCTCACTTGCTCGTTCTTGTTCTTGGATCTGGTGGAGATGCTAGACAAGAATCTTGGTAAAAAGGTTATTTTTGTATATACACGATAAGACCAAATTCTCTCTTACAAAGTCAATGTGTTCTTTACGAATGAATATCTTGTATCCCCTACGTGTCTCTTTCTATTTATAGGGAGCATGTTTCTAGAAACCCTAATAGTACAAGTGGAGAAAATATTTACTAGAATATTTTTTTTAATGTCATATCTTGAAACTAGCCGTTGTAACTCTGTCAAGGGTGTTCGACCTCGACCTCGATCTTTGATGACTCCTCGACCTTAATCCTCGCTGACTCTTCGATCGCAACCTTTATTGTTCCTTGAACCACTTCGACACATGGCGACCTGTGAATGTCTCGCTAACGCCATCATGGCTTAAGCATTTTAGAGGTAAATTTTGAGCTATGCACATACCATCACATGATTTATGAAAAATGAATTAGTAAACTTGTCGTTTAAAGATCTTTAGCACCTGGTGCCAAGTGCCAAAATATAATTGCTTGAATTTTTCACCTTATGGGGCAAATCAGTTAAGAAACTGTAAATCAAAATCATATCGTTGTGTTAGCAATAAAAGTAAAGCGAAGAAAGTTTATCAGACAAAGTAGCAACTTTGTCACGTGAACTCTAACGCGTTGACAAAAGTTCAATTGATATACTCAATAGTGGAAATCCCAAAAGTTCAATTGATCTACGCGTTGACAAGTGCAGGACTGGAATTACAAAGCAAAGAGAAACCTAAGACTAGCTTGATCAGAGAGAAGCGAAAGTAACACACCATTTAGCCAAATCTTTTCCAAAAAAAAAAAAAAAAAAAAAAAAAAAAAAAACTCATTAGCTTGATCATGACCTAAATGTTTCCTACGCCACATAGTTATGTTATTTGAGAGGCAGATAGAGTTACTTTCGGCTCAAACTATGTATACATATGGAAAAAAAAAGATTTAAAATGTATACATATAATAAGATCATACTCATTCTGAACTCATTCACTCTAAATCTTGCATTTCCGTCCCTCTGGTTATTTCCTTTAGTTTAACTTAGCATTTGCGCACTAGAGCTTGAATTATAATTCATTGGCACTGGCGAGAACGTTGATGAAAATCCAGCAACCATATTAGGCTTATTATTAACCGCTGCTTGCTCTAAGGAATGAAGTTGCTTCTTTAGAAACTTAACATAGTGGACAGCCTCATCCAACATAGAAGCTGTGTCCATTTTTGTGCCTCCTGGGACAAGTCTTTGTAAAATCCTAATCCTTTCACTTATTCGTTCCCTCCGATGCCTCGCCGCTACACTCTGTGGATCCTTTGATATCTTGACATTCTTTCTTTTTGGTGGCTTCACTGATTGAGGGTCAATGTGAATCGGTTGCATCATCGCCATACGAAAAATCATCTCCCTCATTGCCTCCATAGAATTTCTGTTTTGTAAACATGAATACTCATTTCCACTACTATGAGCAGATGCAATAATTTCATCAATGGATGAAAGAATTGGGATATTTGGTTCTTCAATAGGATTGCCCATGAATGAGAAATTAGAGGGAGGAGAAGTCATTAGATAATTAGAGTACTTATGAACTGGTGGTTGTAAGGGTATCATTTCAATGTTGCTGCTAGAGAATCCAAGTTCTAGGGACTGAGCAATATCCTGTAAATTCATGATATGTAAGGGAGAGAATCGGGGAGATAGAAATATATGGGAATTGAATGAAGAGCAAATATTTGAGTGAGAAGATGGCCTTAAAAGATTCAGGGGATATATCACAAATAAAAGTGCTAGCTCCTTTGAGCACAGCATGGAATTGTCAGTGATATATGCATATATATATATATATATATATGACAAGTTGCGACCTGCTCCTGTGTTTTTATATTCGCTAAATCCTTACTATATTCCAAAGAATACGCAATGATATAGACCACTATAGTATTTTATTTTCTTTATAGTATAAGCCTGAAGTACATAAGTAGCATTTCCACTTGATGATAATTTCATAAGTTTGTGCTAGTGTCAAGATGAAATAAGGAAGAGAACTCCGTAAATGCAGCCAAGATTAACATGACAGATTTAACTTAAAAACACAAACAATGTAAACAATTATGTAGTGCAGTTTCACCTGTTGTAGCGCCATGTTACTAATTTCACTTATTTTCTCTTACACTATTAGCTTATAAATATGAGCACTAAACTTTAACAGGATATGATTGTGTAAATATTAAAAGGAGAAGTCAGATCAGGGGAATGCGGTAGAGTTAAGGTGCATGAACCAAAAAAATGCAGCCATCACTAAGAGTTAAAACCAGGTATGGTCCTAGGGATGAAAAACTCTAGCTTTGCCTTTAGAAAAATTAACTTGAAAAAACTCGAAGGGTAACCCCACAACACATGACATCTGTCAGAAGGATAACAAGTCTGGTTTCAGAAGTAGGGTAGCAAAGAATGAACAACTTACCTGTAAAGTTGCCTATTTTTTATTTTTCTAATTTCTACATTGAGGCATTGAGTTTCAGAGACAGGAGGATGGTTGCTGCAATTGGGTTTCTGCAATGATGCTTAAATGGCACGCATCTCGATTCCGATTTAGGAAGTTTACTTGCACATTTGGACTGACCCTCTGCTCCTCAAGTTTAGAAAATGACTAGTTTTGAACCACCTTATAAATGAACTGGGAAATTTAACTGCCTTGTAACTAGCAGATGGTCTGACTATTTTTAGTTACGTTATGAAATTGCAGGTCCAAAGTCCAAACTCAGCTTACAAGTTACGGCTCTTCTGAAATATTCTGCTTGTTGGCGCACCACAAGAAGCAATGTTTGTACTGTGGTCGTTTAGTGTTCCAAATGATTAATTACCCAAAGCATAATCTGCTTCAGTTACTAATATGCTCAGGCAATAATAAAATTTTCTTTAAAATACAAATCTTATATTGAGTTGGAGTTCTATGGTAAATGCATATAACTCTCTTTAAGAAACATTTAACCTATGATAAATGATTTGCAATATACTATAACTGATTAAATTATACTAACAATTTAAAAATTCGTTAGAACTGTCAGCGTATATAACTTAAATCTTCTTGTATTTAGTTGAAAAGATCTTATAGACCTTGTTAATCTGCCTAACATGCTAATTTTAATTGGGACTTCCTTCAAAACTCCTGTACAAGGATATGTTGTCACTTATGCCCATGGTAAGCAGAGCCAGAATTTCAACCCTATGAGTTTTGAATTTTAGAACGACGAGTTCAAATATTAATACTGGATTCTAAATTTATTTATACACATTTGAAACACAAAATTATTGAAATAGTTTAAATATAAAACTCGTTCCTAAACTCACAAAACACGTTTCCCTTGTTCACTTAATATTACATAACCTTTATTAGAAGGCAAAACGATAGAAAGTATATCATTCTAAAGCATGTTGGTTAAACACAAAATTAGCCCCATTAGAATTGTAAGTTTCCATTAGCTAGAATGAAAAAATATAACTTGTAAATATAGATCTGCTGAGATTGCTTATATCTCACCAAAAGAAATACTCAGAAGAATGAATACAGAGATAGCAGTAAGGTAATCAGAATGGGGCCTGCGCACTTTGGTTTGGATTCAGCAATAGTTTATATTTTAGGGTAAATAATTCTATCAACATGACCTCTGCAACATCATAAATCCTAATATGGCAGAGTATAGCAGTCAATTATTTCATCAACATGTCAGAAAGCAACTAAATTTTTCTGATAAGGTCACTTCAATGAGGGGTCCTAAGATTTTTGTTGGCAGAAGAAAACTCATAATTTTATTTGAAATTTATTTTGTTAGCTTTTTGAGATGCCAAATTATTAATAATTTATTTATTAAAACTCGAATTTATATTTTCTAGTTGACATATTAAAACTCTAATAAATAACTAAAAAGACAATCTATACTTACAAAGAAAATATATCAAAAAAAATTAAAAAATAAATGCAAATAATAAGATATAGAACAATCAAACCTGATTCAACAAATACATAACTTGATAAACTTTTGCTACTTCAATATTCTTGATGTAACGCCAAAAAATTTGAGAACAAATAAAAAAGATGGTACTTGTGTTTCTGCTATTTTATTTTGTGATAGCGACTCAATGAGATTGGAATGTAGAGAAGGCTAAAGGAACAATATAAGAATAAAAGTTAATAGACTTTTGGCAGAGAAAGATAAAAAGAGATTAAAAAAAATGTGGGCCCATTTATAATAATGATGGCGCATAAATGAGGTAAGATTGTGAGATGTTCACACGCAAATAAGGAGTGAATCCCAAAAATATATTCGTTTTCTAATTGTTCTTCAACGGGCCCTTTCCTTAAAACTTGTATTTTTTTATATAAATATTTAATATTCTTTGAAAAAAATTGAATAATACAATAACTGTTAGAAAAATTTGGAGCCCTCAAATAGGGCCCGCCATTGCTTTACTTGCTTGGCCGTTAAGCCGGCCTGTTAATTTCTAGTTGGAAATTTAAAAAGTCCAACCCATTATTCTTGGTTATAGTATTTTACTATTTCTTTTGTACACTCCAACAAATTACATAATCAGCCCTGCCCTACCACCCTAATCTTTTGTCATAGAAGAACGTCTATATATTCCAAATAATTGTACTGGGTAGGACGTATCTTCTAAAGATTTAAATGTTTTCTTCAGCATTTGTTAGATAATATATACAAAACTAAAGTATTGTTCTGCCAGTGGTTACCAGATAGCTTACTTTTTCATTTATTTTTTCGATCCAAAAGCAATGTTGTAATAACATGTAAACAACTGATTCAATGTGATGAACGCGCAGGCTTCAATATCATGCTTCAAATATTAGCAAGTTGAGGTTGATTATATAAATTTCCGCCGTTCAAAAAAGAAAAAGGAATAATGATCAGGAAAATGTTAAAGAAAGGATCTCATCTGAATGTGATTAGCCTACAAGATTCGAAGGTGCTACAACAATATGATATCAAATTTGTTGGATATCACTGTCGCGTGATAAAAGATATTAGTATTAAAAAGCACAAGAGTTTGCGGAGGGTCACGATCCCTCTAAACCGACAATGAATTAACTCACCTTTACAAAATTTTCGAAAATTAAAAGATAAAAAATAAGACACCTTTACAAATCATTAGTCACTACATGTCCCAAACTGTTGGGTTTAATTGCGGTATATTCCGACAAGGCGAAAGAACTGTTAAGTTTAGCTTTAGTTGCAACTTGCAAGTGATTTTTTAAGGAACCTTTATTACAGTAAACTTCTTCAGGGTCAATCGATTAAGTAATTATAGGAGTATATGTGAAGCTCCAAGTGCGGAGTCGTTTTAAATTAGCGAGCACAGGTAGCACTCTGATCCTTTGTGAAGTATTGATTTAGTTATAACTAGTAGTGTATGATTTTAAAAGTTTTCCATAATATAAATTGTTAAAGGCAAAACCACTATTGAGACGAGGATCTGCCAATATTTGGGACTGGTTATATTGCCCACATGAATTTCCTCTCTTTCAACGCAGTTGTCTATACAGCCCAAGTAAGATAAGTAAGTTCCTGACATCACCTACTCTTCGAGAGTCAAATGAATTATTTTTTTTACTGTAATTTTTTCATATTTCTCAAATCTCACTTGTGGATTATATGAGTGTATATATATTTTTTTTTACGTAGATCCAAATATATAAATTTTATTTTGAAAAACAAAAAAAATATGTCCAAATGCATGGTTAAAATTAAGAAATTAAAAATCTCGAAAAGTGAAAAGTGTCACATAAATTGGTATAGAGGGAGTATTAATCTTAAACAAATATTAGCATTATGAAATGTTATACTAATCTTCACTTACCCTATATGATTCCGGAAGTGTGATGTACTATTTTATTAGAGTTGTGAACCAAGAGCGCCCATGGCCTAATGGATAAGGCGCTTGACTTCTAATCAAGCGATTGTGGGTTCGAGTCCCACTGGGCGTGTATTTTTTATTTTATTTTATCTTTATTACTTTTATTTTGGTGGGTGGGACCAGGATTTGATGACTGGGATCCTCCTCTGTTGCGGAACAACAAGAAAAGAAAACACACTTCATCTTATCGTGTTTATTAGCCAGGCAATGGAGCTAGACCCTGCGATTCTCAGAGTAAGCACATTTTTGTAAATCTAAAAATTGCTACCATTTAAATCGACCAAATTTTATTAAAGTTACAACAATCCTTTATGATACTAAAGCAGCTAAAATATTGTCTAATTCTATCTGAACAACTACAATAGAGTAAGATCCATAGGAGCACTTTTGCCTTTACAGAATCGGGAAAACCCAGTCTTATAAATATTGAGAAACAATGAAATAAAGTTTCTTTTCTTTTGATAATTTAATCAAGAAGATCTTTTTAATGTACGTTTTAAACTTAAGCCACTGGTGGAAACTGGAATATAAAAGTTAGATACTGTACATCTACTACTAACATTAAGACACACGCACCATCCACGTTTCGGGGAGAATTAATGGAAAGAGGTAACAGTAGGTGCACCCTTACCAAAACATACAGGCCTTAATTAAGGTAGAGAAAAAGGGGCCCCCACCACCCCTCTAAGCACCACACCACATTTCTCTATCTGTATTCCCAATCACAAAAGAGCCCAGAACAACCAAAAAACCAGAATATACCATGGAGTTTCCAAAACTATTCCTGCTTTTCTTCATTATATTGTTCACAATCAGCAAGAATGCAATTATCATCGGAGCAGAAGCGAACGAACATGGGTTAGAGATGGTAAATGAGGATTTTGAGTTGCCAATGTCCATGTCTTTATACGAAGGCGAATTTGGAACAGAAAACCGGCGATCCCTGTTCTGGCACAAGACTTTCAAGTACTACATTTCGTATGGGGCGTTGTCCGCCAACAGAATACCTTGCCCGCCGCGCTCTGGTAGGTCATACTACACTCACCACTGTTTCAGTGCTCATGGTCCAGCTCACCCTTACACTAGAGGTTGCTCTGCTATCACTCGTTGTCGTAGATGAACAATTACCTTCTCTTTCTGCTTATAGTTTGTGATCCATTCCATGCCCGTTTTCTAGCATTGTGTTGGGGGCAGTGGGTTCATTTCTTGATGGTTGCTTTTTTTTTTTGTTCATTTACATGTACCTGTTGACTTTAGTTTGTGCGTCTGGGAGCTTTTACTGTTATGTACGCTCTGCTTATTTAGGCTAGCTAGATCAATCGAGTAATTACTTTATTTAGCAAGATATGAAGCTGTCTAATTTTCTGCATCAAATTAATGTGTGTTCTGTCTGGATACAAAGCATGTTTGGGAAATTGTGGTGGGCTGATAGTGATCTCCCTGTTTATTACACACATATTTATATATGGTTTGACTCTGAAGTAGCATATCCTGCCAAGCCATTTAGAATGTAATTGCGGACATGATATACCAGATCAATTACTGATTGTGAAAAAAGTAGTTCATTACGTTGTAAGTGTAGATAACTTGAATCCATAACTAGTTATCTGCTCGCGCAGCACTGTAGCATAACAATTGCAACTTCTTTGATACTGGTGGTTGGTATACTCCAGTCAAAAGAAGAGAAAGTGGAAGAAGGGTAATTATAAGTGTTTGTTGGCAAACTTTAGTGAATACCAATCCTGAGAATTGCACCTCTACCTAACCACTAGAACTGCATTTAACACCTGCGCGGCTCTGTATTCATTACAAGCCTACTTACACATTATGATGCAAAATTCAATATCCCAACTACTTCCATCTTTATATCTCATAAGTCATAACACACCGTTAAAACTTAAAGCATTCCACTTAACTCATGCCAATTGTCTTCATTTTTGTTCTTGTAGATTTATTTATAACAAAAAGCAACAAGTAGGAAATTCAACATCAAGTTTATGTTAATAGATCTTTGTTAAAGCAGTTGCATAAAACAAGAAAATATGCATCGAATAAATTTCCAATAGCGTGAGGACACCGAGTGAAGATGAAGAATTATAATGCAGTAGTTTTCAGTAAAAGAGTAAGAAGATAGAATTGAAAGAAGACGAATGGCAAAATAATGCACAGGTCGCCAAAGGGACCTTCAAAATTGGGCTACCCAAAAAGACGCTTAAATTGATTGAATGGAGTTTGCACCCATTGTTAAGGTAGAAATGACACCACGTTGCTACTCTAAATGGGCTACTATTTTGGAATTAGTCTAACATATCTTAAATTTTTGTTTTTCAGTTTGATTTTTGGGGACACAAAATTAATATTTTTAGTTCAAATTTCCAGGACAAAATAAATAGAGTTTTTTACACGCTTGATCCTTTTTTAACTATCATTTAAAAAAAATAGCATCATTTATTGTTTATTCCATAAACAACACTTTTTTTTTATTATTAGCGAATTATAAAAATTAAGCTCAACATTTAATAAGTTAACTGACTCACTAATCATGGGAAGTACTTTTTTGTCCATCTCCATTCTCCCTTTCCAACATTCATCTTTTTCACTCCATTGTTGAAAATCTGAAGCATATGTGAATGCCACCTAAATTCAAGATGTATTGATTTATACGTCTTTTATACTTTGTATATCAAGTATCACTTTAATTCAAAATATATTTTTATGTATATAATTTTTGTATATTTTTTTGTGAAGTGCCATCTTATTTTAAGATGTATTTTTAATGTATATTTCAAATATATTTTTTTATGTCAAGTTCCATTATAATTCAGGATGTACTTTTTATATATTTTTGTATATTTATATGCCATCTTAATTAAATTTAAGATATATATTTTTATGTATATTTCACATGTCTAAGTGTCATCTTAATTGAAGATTTATTTTTTATGTATATTTTTTTGTATATTTTATATGTGTTAATTCAATGTATATTTTTTATATATACGTTTTGTATATATTAACGTATATTATTATCGAATTAAGATCTTTATGTTAAGAAAGGAAGAAAGAAGGAAAAGAAAAAATTAAGAAAGATAATTAAAAAGAAAACGAATGGAACAAATTTAGAAAATATATTGGCTTTTGCATAAAACAAAATTAAGATGATGAATAAAAAGAAGGAAAGCTAATAGATAAAGAGAAAAAAAAAGGCATGATTTTTGTACAAAGAATTATTGACTTTCCATTCAAATTGCTTATGTTTATGGATTAATAATTAATATTCTTATTTTAATGGAACTATGTGCTACAAATATAAATATTTTCTTGCTACAACTGTAATATTGGATTTCATGCTAAGAATTTATTATATTTCCTTTTAAACTGTGACAGTTATGTAAAGTTTCTAAATACGTACTGGCTAATCCCTAAATAGTAGCCCGAAGAATGATTGTTTGTGTACTTGCCCATTGTTAAAAGGGAATTTAACAATTACCTTTCTCATTTATTTCAAAGTCCTAATAGCTAATCCAGACTCAAAACTCTCAAATCTGACCCATTATAAAAAGCTTAATTTAAAAGCCCAATCATACCATGTTAATGAGCAGGTCCATGAGGACAGCAGTGGATCAAACGAATTTGAAGTCGAGCCCTGAGCTGTAAGGTCTGGGTAGATATTAGCCCTATAAATTAAAAAATACTAGATTTACAAATGATAATTAAAAAATAGCCATAATTTCATAAGTAATCGAAATTTAGCCACTTTTCATGTAAAGATAAATTTGAACGAAAATACTGTTCAAAATTCGAAAAATATCCCAACATAATATACTGGAGTTCCAGCATAATATACTAGAATTCCAACATAATATACTGGAGTTCCGGTATATTATACTTGTCCATCATAATATACTAGTCTAACATAATATGCTGGAAGTTGATACACAGGTGCTCCAATTTTCAGTATATTATGCTGGAACTTTCCGTGTGTTGGAGTTCCAGCATATTATGCTGGAAGTTCATACACAAGTGCACCAATCTCCAATATATTATGCTGGAACTTTCCGTGTTGCAGCAAAATAGTGGCTATTTTTTAATGACTTTGCAAACGCTAACTATTTTTTAATTATCAATCCGAAAACTGGCTAGCCCGTACTATTTTCACTATAATAATAGTTAGTACAACTTCCGAGGGAAAACTCAAGACAGATTGCAACGAGTAGACATTTTTATAGAATACTTCATCTGCCCAAGTTTACTTATTACTATACCAAAAATAAATGTTTACTTTTACTGGTTCAATTTGAAAAATCAATGGATTATTTATCATTTTATTCCTATTTTATCCTTCTTATTAAGTAGTACTATTTATTTTCAATTTATTTCCCCACATATATAATAAATAGGAGTGATATAGTAAATTTAACATGTTATTTAGTGTTTCTTGAGAGTTGTGTTAAATCAATAGTGGACAAGTAAATTTGGACGGTGGGAGTTTTAGTTATTTTATTGTATCCGCGAATTTAGACCATGATAATCGACTTAATGTATGCATATTTTGATATATACCGCCTCACATTTTGCTCATGTCTCGACGATTTGAGATGTTTAATATGATTATTTTGTGCTAAATTTTGGTATTTCTATGTGTAGGGATCATTCGGATGCAATTTGGAACGAAAAGGCGCGAATTGGAGCGAAATCGGGACAAAAAGGGAAAAAGTAAAATTTGAGGGCCACAGCCAGCATGGGGCGCTGGCTGTGGCGCAATTTACAGCAGCTAAAATATTTGAGCGCCAGGGCCAGCGCCCCACGCTGCCCTGGATGCTCAAAAACATGTACATGTCCTATTTCGACCGGGACTCAGTTATTTCGACCCCAAGACTCCCCCAACTCATATAAAAGCCAACCTAAGCCTATTTTAAAAAGAGGAGGACGTTTTGAGAGAAAAAACACAAGCATAAAGCCGTCGTGGAGGCCGAAATTCATCAACTTCCATCTTTCTCTCACCAAACTTAGTAATTTTTATGTTTCTTTGTATGATTTGTTGTTTGGCTACCATGTCTATGTGGAGCTAAACTTCACGTTCTAGGGTTGTGGTTCTTTCATGACTATTGTTATTCGGATATTGATTTTGACTTCTTGATTTATCATATTGGTTTATTTATTCAATCTTGCGCTTAATTATTTAATTGCTTGATCACCAATTGAATACTATCTACGAATCTAGAATTGAACTCGAAAGTGGGAATTCTATATTGCATATAGGATTGAGTAG